CCGTTTTGGATAGAAGGTATTATCTTGCAAAAATGTCTGATATCTTAAATCTTTATCAACAGACTTTTTTCCTCAGTTGATATGTGGTTATTTATGCTAAGACATGATGTAAAAAATAAAGATGCAGATACATACATATCTCTGTAGACCTATAGATCTCTACCTACTCCTCATAACCCCTCTACCACTCCCTCTTCCTAAGCCCTCTTTCTATCTCTATTTCCTGGGGAAAAGGGACTGATTTCTTGCCATATCCACAACTTTGCCTGAAATTTGTAGACACATATATTTCAATTTCTATTCCATTGTTTAGAGTCTATACATACTTTTCCTTAATCACACATTTTTACTAAGTCCCTTTGTAAGTCACATGAACAGTAAGTCACTCCCCTGCCCCCTTCTCAGTTCTTGAGATAAGGACGGAGACCTGAAGATGAGGTGTTTGCATTTTTTTTTCTCAACCCCTAGGGTAAGGTTTCTCAGCTGTATGATTCCTCTTTGTCTACTTTTGTGAGCAGACACTGTATGCTTCTTGGTCAAGACATGTTACATCAATGAACTTTCCCAACTCAAAGCTTAATACTCTCTTGACTGTGGCTGGTGAGCCGATTCCTTCCTTGACCCATTGCAATTGATGGCAGTTGATGGTTGCTAACATGCATTTTCATCCTTTTCAACTTAAGCCTCTCAGATCATAATCTTCAGCAGTTTTTGTCTATTTATGTGTATTATTTGGAGACTTCTATACATAGGTTATTCTACTATTTCCAGTAATACTGTTTCCAGTAAAACTGAGTGATATTTGTTGACATTTTCTATGTTATCCTGAGACTGGAAATATACATTCGCAAATGGTACAAAGAAAGCCAAGAATCCAAAACAATAATTAGAGTTAATCTCTTAGTTGGAATGAAAAAAAATATTGGAATGAATAAAGAACTAGGAAAGACATATAGTACAAGCACAGGACTAGAAAAATTAAAAAGTATTTCTTTAATGAAGCCAATCTTCTCCTAAGAGCTAGTGATTTTGGCATTCCAGAAATTTCCAGGAAGTTTGTCAAGGGTGTATTATCATGCATATGCTTTCTACTGTTTTATTTTCTTGGGTTTAATGACTTTCTTTTGGTGCCCACTGCTAATCACTTATTTCCATCTTCAAATTAGCTTTTAACTCTAAAAATTACCATTTTCTTTACTACTATTTTAGGAATTTCTCATCAGTGAGAGAGCCTCATTGCTTTAATTGTACTTTAACTCTATCTATATATAAGTAACAATACAAAAGTTGTTGTATATACAGTCTGGAAACACAATATACTTGCCAGGAGTGGATTTTATAAACATACACACACACACATACTCCCAAAAGAGTAGAAAAATATGGTTTGCTGATCACAGATGATCAGAAGTGTACAAGAATATTCAGTTGGAAAAATAGTCCTAATGAATTGTTTTGTAAAAGTTTTTTTCAGTAGCAAAAAAAAAATGGTAAATTTAGAGGAGTTTCTGGTTCAGTAGGTCTGGGGTTAGGGCCAAGAATTTACATTTTTAATAAGTGATGCTGATACTGCTAGTTCAAAGACTATACTTTCTGAGAACCACAGTCTAATTTCCGTGGTTGTGTCAAGGATTTGTGGCAAAGCCTGCCGTGTGAGCCATCACACAGCTCATGCTTATTAGAAGCACCTACAATGTCTGCATTTGCTTTTCATCAGTATGGGAATAAGGCTGAAAGTATACAACATAGTTGAATAGAGAATGGCAAGGCAAAGGTTTGGAATTTTTAATTTTTATTTAATTGGTAGGGTGACTTGTTTTTATTTCAAAAGGTAGAACAGTTCTCATTATTTGTTTTATTTCACCATAACCTGAAGGGCTTCCCACTTCAGAAGGTCATGGACAGAATCCTAGAGTAAGTATTTTAATCTAGAACCCTGAATAGTTTTGAAGCAGATTTTCTAGCGTATCACATAACTTTCATATTAGAAGAATAAGACTCAATGGAGACTTAATGTTACCTGGGGGTTTATCATTAAATATGCGTATGAAGTATATTCTTTCAAGTTGTTTATTCACATAAAGTTAGGTGCTAGAGCAGAAAGCAGGTTATTATTATTTTTAAAAAGTATTAGGAAGGAAACAGATCAGAGACCTGGCAATGAAAACAAAAGAAAGTGAAGATTAAATTATGAGATCAATAAAGAAATGTGTTTTTTCATTTGTGTGATCAAGACCAGATACAATAAGGAAGAACTCAGCAGGTGAGAATCTTTTATTTTTAAATAGGTTAAGAGAAGAGTTATCCCTTCACAAGTCAATCGTGAAAAGAAGACAAGTAGGACTGATGGCAGATGGTGGCTAGGTGGCAAGCTGGGGAGCTAGAGCAAGGGGGGAGTGGAGGTCACTGGGCATGTGGGTCATATCATCAACAGGGGGGATTTTAATGACAACATGGACATGAAATACTGCAGGTGTAGCCAATACAGTGCCAGGGTCTGCACAGACAATCTAGACATACCCATCATGATTGAGAAGAATGAAGATGCTTTTCTATATACCTGTTTATGTGTGACTATGTGCATGTGTGAGTGGAAGAGAGAGAAGAGACTGAGAGAGAGAGAGGTCAGGAAGGACAGAACCAATAACTACCTGTTGGGATGTCATCAGTTTGCATATCCAATTTTCTTTTTCTAATTTTTTTTTGAGATTTTCATTTATTTATGCATGCAAGTGCTGGGGAACAGACGGGCAGGAGGGTGAAAGGATTCACCAGAGACAGAGTGAGGAGCAGAACAGACAGATATGCTGAAATACACTGCTGAGGATAGCAGCAGGCAAGACAGGAGAAGTCTACATGTCATGTGGGTCAGCTCCCTGGCCAGGGGTTGAATTTGTGCTGCATGGGCTGTGGATAGCTTCATAGTGCTGCGCTTCAACCCCTGTACCAACAGAGAGGCCCCCCCCCATATCCTATTTTCTTATCAAACATTAAGAGTGTCATGGAACTAATATCTCTAAACACGTTCATTGTATTCATAACAGAGATAAAGATGGAAACATTTGAAAGGTCAGCCTTTATGAAAAGTAAGAAAGAATAAATCCATATATTGAGAAAATATTCGCTCTTTGAAACAAGGTAGCATAATCTGATTTTTGGTTCTACTGTATGCATACATATAGGTAGACATAAAATTTGATTGTTTAAAATAGCATTTTATTGATTTATACTGACGTATAATACTGTTCAAATTTGGGGAGTGCAGTGTCACACCTTTGTATATTTTTATGGCCCATCACCCTACCATGAAGTTTTCATGCCTCTATCAAATTGACCCCTTATGCCTTTTATTTCCACTCTCTTTCCCTTCTCCTCTAGTAACTTTCCAGTCTGAGAGTTACATTTGTTGTATTTTGTTACCTTGCTTTGGCTACTTCACTTAAGAAAGTGTTCAGTAATTTTCTATCATTTTCTTATGGTCAGTGTAATCACCTCAGATTGCATCTGTGTTGTAGCAAAAGGTAAGAGTTTGTCTTTTTAACAACTGCATAGTATTTCATTGAGTATATATTCCACAGTTTTATCCATTCATCTGCTGAGTTGTTTCCACATATTGGTTATATGGAAAATGCTGCTATGAAAATAGGGGTACACTTTTTTTTTCAAATTAATATTTACATATTCTTTGGATAAATGCCTAGAAATTGTATTGCTGGGACATGTGGTATTTATATTTTTAGTTTTTTGAGGAAAGATTTGATTTTTGTAAGTACTTTATCATGTCATTTAGTTCCTTTGAAATGCTTGCTCATTTCATTTCAAATTTGTACTTGAACTGGTTCATTTCCTCAATGGTCATTCTTTTACTTTCCTAACTGAGCCTAATCTTCAGCACCTAGCTCAAATTCCACTTTATACAAGATTTTCCCTAAGTATGAGAGTTTACCGACTTTTTCTAACTCTGAATTTAAGCCATATGCAGGGATTACTGTTCATGCACCACCCTCATCCTCCTGAACTCAAGAGCAAAATAATCACATTCATGTGGTTCCCCCCAAACTACTGTCAATGAACTAAAGAATATACAGCTTGAGCCCTCCAGTGAAAGAAACATCTGGCTTCCTCCCCAGCATCCATAATATTCCAACCTCCCTATTGTGAAAAAGCCACTGGCTAAAGGAGGCTGACTCCTCTCTGACCACTAGTAATGGGCCTTGACTGCCTTAGCCAGTCAGTATAATCCCACCCCTCCGTCACAGTGGCTGATTCATCCAGTGGTGTGATTTGACCTGGGGTAATCATTATGAAGATCAGGATGATCAGGATGTTTGATCGACTGTAATGTGAGAATTCTCTCTTTGCGAATCCTGTAGTGTGCAGATATGATGACTGGAATTGTTGGGATCAGTCTGCCCAAGCAGGGAGGGCAGTGTGACGGGCAAGCTAACACCCAGGGGAAGGTAGAGCCTCAGAATAGGAGCCAGAAATCTGATCAACCTGTGGCCAATGTCACAGTTCTTACATAAGTGTCTTTCTGACCTACAGCTCTTAATTTTTTGCCACCTCTGGAGGCTTCAGTCATTTGAGCCAATATATTTCCTTCAGAAATTAAACCAGGAAGAGGAGTCTTATTATTTGTTGAGTTTCTCCTATTTTTAAATCCTTAGGACACAGTATGTCATTTGTCTTCTTGCAACCTAATTCTTTTAGGAAAATAGCAGTCTTGTAAATTCATTATGTATTTTTGCTGCTTATGCCAATTCTAACCAGTCACAAGTGGCGTGATAATTAATTTAGAACTGTTTCTACCACAATTTCTGTTCAAGTTGATTAGTTTGCTATGCATTTAGAGGGTAGTGATAATTTATATCATGCACTACTTGAATGTATGCATCCATTCTAATTGTGTGTAAACAATATACTATATACAGTAACTTTACAAAAGATGAGCTTTAGTATAACATTCCTCAGTTATTATGGCAATATATAAATGCATATACCTTTTCGATGAAACTGAAGAGACCCCAGTAGACATATGGATTTTAGCATCTCTGTTGTGTACATTTCTAAGCAGCACTGCAGCTGGATATAAAGTCGACAGATTTCTGGATGGATCTCACCATCTTCTGGGCTGCAACAGAATGAAAGTGAAAAGCTATGAGCATTCTCCAGATTTCCCTCATCAGCCATTTGTCTCATTTCTGGGAAGGGAAAATGCTCAAGAAAGATTCCTTAAAACCTTGAGTCTGAAATGTAGGACTTTCTGCTTTTAAGCCAGTGACCAATGTTACAGTTCTTACATAAGTGTCTTTCTGACCTACAGCTCTTAGTTTTTTCAGCAGCAGATTTCTGCTGGAAGCCTCAAATCATAAATGTTTTAAGTATTTGAAAATAACAGACATTTTCAGTTTAATTGTTGGAACCAATTTCCTAAATTTATTTAAATTATAGGAATATCCTATCCTATCGGGGGATATTAAAAACTCTTATTTTTAGAGAAATTAATGAAGAGCTTTCAACTAGGAGTTATAAAGTCGTTTAGTGTTAAGACCATGGCATAATGTGATTAGAGAGCCAGGACACAAATTACTTTTACCAAAGTCTTTTGTGTCAGTGTAATCAATATTCCTTTATTATTTTATGTGTTTAGTTTATAAAATATCAAATGTTTTTAATGAGAAAACAAACTTTTAAAAAATAAGAAGAGTAATAAAATTCTAATAAATAGGTTTAACAGTTCAAAGTTAAATCTCATGCTCTAAAATGTGTTCTAAAGATTTTGAGCCTTTCTCCAATAATTATGACAAAGCATGTTTGTGTGAATATGATAAAAGCAGGAATGATCGCTTCAATTTTTTTGATTAAGAGAAGAAAAGCTAATTGCCGATAAAACTATTTTCTATGCAACTAAAATAGCATGTGTTGGATAAGGCAAACTAAATAAAAAGGAATGAAGTTTAGAGATAGGTTGGACATGGAAGGTGACTCACAGTGAACTGTCAAAGGTCCTGATATGTTATTCTTATTTCATCACCTTTCATTTAAAATGCAATGAAATCTGATTAAACAATGTGGCATTTGGATTTGATTCATTTGTAAAGTGGGTCAATGGTAAATGTCAAGAGTAATTAATAGATAAAGTGGTGGTTTCATTTTTATTTAAGTTCAGGAATCACAGTAAAAAGAATTTATATTCACATAGCCCTTTATCTCGATAACTATCATTATAATCATGATAACTCTTACTGATTATTTTCAACACTTATTTAGTAGATGAGCCCTTTTATTTAACTACATGGCTTATATAACACAGAAAAATGCAACATTCTTTGTCTTTGTACACTGATGGCTGCACAGTTTGTGTCTTTCCATTGTCAGAGCAAAACGCTTCAAAAAGTTTACATGCAAAATTTTGTTTTATCTGAAAAATAAAAACTACATTACGTTCTCATTTGAGTCACATGGTTCAGCCCTAGGACAACATTGGAAGCAAATGAATCTTGGCAAAAGTCCTAGCTTTTCTTCCAGAACTTCTCCCACACGTACCTTCTACCCTCAGGCTGTCTCTTGCTCCTTGGAATTCTCCCCACCCCACCCCCACCTCCTCTCTCTCCTAACACACACACACACACACACACACACACACACACACACAACTATACTACATCTCATCTTTGGCTTTTCCAAATGACAATCCCTCTTGGCATTTCTAGACTCTGAAGAAATAATGGACATTAATGGTTCATTTAATAAAAAATAGATCTGATCTAGTACCTGCTAATACATTGACTTTGATAGAAACATTTGAAGAATATGTCTTTTCCCAAAGGCAGCTAGAGGGAAAATATGTCAAGCAGGCAGGTCTTTTCTGTACTGCTTCATCATCCCAATCATCGCTGTCTGTTTTCACCTACGCATAGCATGGGCTCTGGTGGCTCATATGCAGATTTTTAAAACCTATAATAAACCTGTTGTATGTATTGTACACTTGATGAGTGGGACAATTAGCCAGTGCAGTGTCATTCCAAAGCATGGAGTATACTTATTTTCAGAAGTACAAAATATGTGCCTAGTGGCTTAGTTCCCAAAATATGCAAAATTCATATATAGATGACATTTTATGTAATTGAAACAAATGACTACCATATTAACATATCTTAAGAGCCAGAATATTTTATTACTTTACAGCTAGACAGAGAGAAGTAGTTATATATTAAATGATTCTGAAAAGAGGCAAGTCAGAACAGAGGTTAATTCCTAATTTTTTTTAAATAAAATTCCTAATTCTTAACATTTTCTTGTTGGCCATCTCCCAATGCCTCTGTAGCCACTGGAAATTCTAGAAGCTGTTGGGAGCATTATGTCCTTCATAAAGGTTATAGGAAGGGACTCAACCAGTTCTCTCAGAAATAAAATCTGCCTAACAAAAATTAACTTGTGTTAATATTGCCTTGTGAGTGTTCTAGTTAAAAAGTGACATATCTACTCAGATATTCTTTAATATCTTGGAAAATTGAAAGAAAGGAGCTAGTTATTGAGTAGTGAAAAAGGTAAGATGTCTTTTATGTTTGTGTTTCACAATGTCTTGATCAAGTTACCAAAAATGCATTTAAAGACAAATTTCCAAATGAATTATAATATGTCTAATGTTATAAGTAGTGGACTTAAGTACATTTTTGAGAAGCATTAAAAAATTAGGTTATTTTCATAACAAATGAATAAGAGTCAGCATGGAAAAGAGAAGAAAAGTCAAGAAAACAGCTATTTCAAATCTGAAACTTCCTAGGGATAAGTTATGGGCCTATGGAAGAAACATTTACATTAAAACAAAACTAGACCAATGGACTTTCTCCAGGGATTAGAAGCATCTTATCTTTGGAGGTCACTTTACCACATATGACATGCTTGGTCTAGAATGATTCACTCATATTAATCAAGTTTAGGTCTATGAAAGTCATCCCTGAGCTGATAATCATTCAATTCAGTCAAAGGAATTTTATGAGATAGTGATAAGGAGGTGAATATTTTTTTCTAGTGAGCATAAATCAAGAGCTAACCTGATTGTTTTGAGTCATTTGAAAACTTTAATATTACAGAAAAATATCCCCCAAATCAGCTTCAGTATTTCAGTAATTTGGAGCTTAAGTGCAAGCCAAAACATTAAAAATCACTGCCACGTTATGAATCTTTCAATCAACCTTTTAAAATATAAGAATTGTATAAGATCAGGATTTAATGCCTTAATCATATGGTTTAACAAACCTGAACCAGTATAATAATAGGGAAACATGAAACAGATAATGCCTTGGTTATTGCTTGACCATGGGGATGCTTTTCATTGTGGATTCTCTCTCTTTTTTAAAAGATTCATTTATTTTTGCATACAGAACTGGGGTATAGGCCAGAGGTGCAGGGGCAGTGAGAGTTTTCCCGAAAGCCAGAGTGGGGAGCAGAACAGGCAGATCAATGAAGTACACTGCTGAGGGGAGCAGCAGGCGGGTCAGGAGAGGTCTGCCATGCTATGTGGTCACCTCTGGGGCAGGCGGGAATCGAACTCATGAGGAAATGGCTTTAGCTTCTCAGTGCTGTGCATTTACCCGCTGCGCCACCAGGGAGGGCCGATACTCTTATTTTTAATTCAAAAAATGGTATTACAAGTACCCACCAGAGTGGCTACAATCAAAAAGACTGACAATACCAATTATGGATGTTGTAGAGCAACAGACTCTCATCCAGTGCTGGTGGGAGTTAAAATGGTGCAACTCTTATGAAACAATTTTTGGAAGTTTCTTATGAAACCAAACATGCACTTACCCTATGACCTGGCAATTCCATTTCTAGGTATTCATGTAAAAGAGATGAAAATAAAAATCACAAAAAGACCTCTGTAGGAATGTTTATAGTAGTTTTATTTAGAATAACCAAAAATTGGAACCAGTCCAACTGGACTGTCTATTAGAAGAAAAGTGAACAACAACAAAAAACTAGTAAATTCCTTCAATAGAATAATATTCAGCAATTACAAGGAGTAAACTCCTGCCCATAACATGAATTAATCTCAAAAAATAAAATATACAGATTCTGGGCCCTCCCTGGTCGTGCAGCGGGTTAAAGCACAGCACTAAGAAGCTAAAGCCACTTCAGCATGAGTTCGATCCCCAGCCCCAGAGGTGACCCACATGGCGTGGCAGACCTCTCGTGAACTGCCCACTGCTTCCCTTAGCAGTGTACCTCGTTAGTCAGCCTGTTCTGCTCTCCATTCTGTCTCTGATGAATCCTCTCACCACCCCTGCAACTCTGGCCTGTACCCCAGTTCTGTATGCACAAATAAAAAATCTTTAGAAAAAATACAGATACTATATGAAGCTATATACAGATACTATAATAAATACAGATACTATGTAAAATAAACTAGATACTATCTGACCCCATTTACAAGAAGTTCTGAGCAGATGAGATGAAACAACAGGGACAAATATTAGACCACTGGTGAAGAGAGATTTGCCTCAGTATGTGGGTAATGGCCCAAATCTAGGTAGAGGTTTGAATTACATAATGTAATATTTGTCATAATTTACTGAAAGGTACACAGAAAATTTGTGCACTTGGTTAAATGTGAACTTAAAAAAAATATTGAACTCCAGTTAATAATATGCACAAACTTAGGGGTAGTTACTGATATCTGAAACTTCAGAAAAATGCAGGTTGCATAGGAGATGGACAGACACCTAGGTATGTGATTAAGCAAGTAAATAAAATGTTTTGCTGTATTATTTCGAATCTTGACAATGGATATTTCACTCAATGTCCAGGGACTCACTTATCCTTAAATAATTACATAGCATAAATTGAACATATCAACTGGGAAGCTTCATGACAATAAGGTCAACTTCAAGTTTGAAACAGGTATTTTTAGTTATAAAATGACAGGGCCCCAAATCTGTCTGCTCTTTTGCCCAGTATGCCAGACTTTGTTGTTCTCTGCAGCTGCTAAAAGCTTTTTAAAAACCAGAGAAATGTTTGTTTTGAATGTCTGTCTCTAATGCAATGGTTTATATATTTAGTTGAAGGAAGTGAGATATAATAAAGGAAAATGGGTTCTGGAATCATAAAACTTAGCTCTAAATATAG